TGATCAACACTTGCACCTAGCTACAGATTACGCCAGGAAACACAGTTGCTCAGTTCAAGGTGTTCCATGCGAGACGGGACTCATGTTACGCCTATTCACACGGGAAAGGGGCAAGGCAGCGATTAGATCGAGAAAATTCCGAGGACACTGAGAGAATGATCCTGCAAAGGGGATGATGCGGAGTACACGTCGAGAATGGGAGACGCAATGTACTTGCTAGATCTTCTGGAGCTAATACGTTGTTACTGAGAAAGACGCTGTATATGGGACAATACTGCAAACTAACAGAGGAGAGACACAGGACTAAGCAGCCGAAATACCACCAAAGGGTAGCCAGCGGCAGTACCGTCAGCTAGGCAAGCTCATGTTCCCAGACTTGCGCGCATAGCAACACCGTCAGTAGAGAATCTAGAGGTAGCATCCGACTAGCCAAGTAGATCCGTCCTCAGTATCTCTCTCCAGCATCTTCAGCATCTTTAGCTGAACATCATATGGAAGGCTTCTCCTTTGTATTTGATTTCGCAAGGTATCAACTCAAGATCTGTCACGTTGCAGGTAGGGTCGCCGGCTGACTTGATCTATCGCATCAAGAGGTCTCTTAGACTGAAGGACTGAGAAATCTACAAGCTTTGGCTAGCAATTGTTCGTCTATTGTGTCCAATACTGTGCAAAGTGACTGATAGTTGACAAGTCTTGCAGTTTATACGTCTACGGGATGCTCGAGACGGACTTACAAGCCTCAACGAGCAAGGTACGTTGGGGGGAAGGGTAGTTGTTCAAGGGAGGGAAGAGAACAAACGCCGGAGCGCTTGAGCCAGAGTGATACACACTACATCGTTGAGAGAGACACCGTACTAACAGGAATCGCCCGCTCATCATCATACATTGCCTGCTCGCTCACGTTCACATTGATGCTCCAACGACGCCGAGGTCCAACGGTGTCTCGAACGGCCCGAGAGTGCGCTCGTCGCAATAGAAATAGGCTTATGATTGTTTCGCCCACCCAGATGCTCCCTGCGAAGCCATTACCGGATTCAGCAAATCACTTGCGATGTTTGGGGAAAATGTGTGTGTATGGCTGACTAACTGACACTTGAGAGTCAACCGACGTTGAGCTACATCAGACCAACAAGAACGCCTCGTCCAGCAGTCGACAATCCACGCTTAGACTGTAAAGTCTGTGTGGTCAATGTGGGAGCCAAAGAGATGGTATGCCCATGGGAGGAAATCTTAGCATAACATATCGACTGTTTGGACGAGACGGAAATGGTCGCTTCCAGATCACGATATTAGACTTTTTGGCCGATTTACGACAACGTTTTGGGTGGAGGGGTCGACGACGTAGATCGTCCCCGCATGTTGCCTCTTTCGGATGACCGAGTCGGCTCCGACCGAGCTCCCATACGGATATCCGTCTCGTTCAGCGGTTGAGATCCGAGAATCAGCCGCAAGCTTACCATTTGTGCCTCGACGACAGGGATGACATGTCTGCGAGGTTTCTGGAAAATCAGTGTAGTGTAATGCAGGCGCCGGCCACTTTGAGAGAAGAATAGGTAGTGGAAAGACAAGAGTAAAGAGGCCCATTGGAGGAAACTCTATCTGGGTTCTTGGCTGTCAGCATCCGGCACAAACAAGTCTGTGGATGACTCTTTCGGCGTGCAGTTAGTCGTCAGGGGACAGGGCGGTCTGTGACGAGTTCAAGCGATCATTTCTCTCGCTGGGAGCCAGTCTGAAGTCGGGTAGAAACGCCACGCTGTCGATCGGATGCTGCCACTGGCGAGCGAATTGACATCGTTCGTTCGGGGGTGTGGGGGAGAGTAGCAAAGAAGACGAAGAGGATGAAGTGAGGATGAAGCAGCGCTGCATAAGCTTAGAGCCAGACGTACGTGCTGCATGCTGCACCGAGTGTTGGGTGGTTGAGTTGGCTTTCGCGTTCATGTTTCGTGTCGCGGCACTTGAGGCCGAGCCGATCAGGCTGATGTGGGCATGATTGCTAAAGGCGAGCGAGGTACGGAGTACGGTAGGCCATGTGCATGTGTGCGAGGCGTCACGCGAAGGTCGTCGACCAGGCTCTAGCTGACAGGAGACGGACGGACTTTTTATCAATGTGTAATTAGCGGGTCTTGGCTAGTCTTCACGACGTGAGGTGTCTGGGGTTGAGCTGTGCATTTCTCATCAGCCTTGGAAAGTCGGTGGCCAGGTGCCAGGCCAGGTCGCCAGGGTAGCGGTATGTTCTGTATCCGTAGTGCTGCTATCTCTCTTGAGTCTCTTCTGGTTTGCGAGATTGAGGAACATCATATACCTTGTCCGAGGCTTCGGCCGATTGCCGCCGAGACTCGAACGGCAGCTGCACCGTGCCACCGTCAGGTAGGACGGGGGAACGCCCACCAGGTGTGTGACTTACGGCGGGAGGGCGCGCGGAAGGCGTGGCGGCGAGACACTAATTTAGCAAAGGAAAGTCTCCGACAGGGTGAGGCGCGAGGGTGCATTTGTCGTGGAACAGTGACTTGCTGGGCTTGAATTACTCGCAACAATTCTTGCTGACACCTCAATGGCCTGTATCCGTTGTAGAAGACAATTCGACCTGTCATTAGTGTGTCCCTTAGGCCCTCGAGTTTTTGCTTTTTGGTTGCAGTTGCCATGATTTGCAGTCTGGAAGTGACTCATTGTGAAGACGGGCTTGGCGAAGCGGAAATGTCCAGGGTTGCACCGGTTGCTTGATCAGCCGGAGGATAAGACGAGTGGGAGACGTCCGTAGGAGAGTGATAGGAGGCCCGTTGGAGGAAACAGGTCGGAGGGGGTAACAGGGCCGTGAGATTGAAATCTCGTCAATGATCAGCGTCAACGTTGATGGAGAACCGGAGCTAATTCAACGTTCAAGAAGACCTCCGTTGCGGCGGACGAAGGCGGCGGTGGAATGCTGCTGGGAGCAGGGGAGCAGGGAGGCCGCGGGGCCCGGTCCACATTGAATTGACGACTTTTTGGTGTCTCCAGGATTCGAATTGCTGCTGTGCCAAAAACCTCAGCTGGGTTGCTGTCGGAGGGTAAGACTAATTGACTGTAAAGGCTTATGTAAGGGGTCAGCGACAATCCACAATGGAAGCAGATACTAGTCGTAATTGATCCGCACGCAATTTAGCATATGAGGTCCCTGCCAGGCTGTAAGACAGTGGGTGGGCGGGATATCCGTACGAATAATACGGGTCCTCGATCCTTTGTCGCAAAAGGACTTTTAGATGTGCGGGCCTGATGCGAGATGGAGATGAATAATAATGGTTCAGATATGCTTGTTTGACTGGCGGGAGGCTAGCGGAGAAGTCGCGGAAGACTGGCGGAAGCATGACGGGAAGTCCGTGGTGGAAAACCCGGTGAAATGACCGGACAGAATGCGTTTGGATAGAGGAGGTCTGATAAGATGGAGCGAGGATGGGAAGCCAATTGTAGAGTGCGATACTTGAATGCAAATAATGTTTGTTGCAGCTGGCAGTGATGGCGATGTGGTGGGATGGCCGTGGTTGGAGTTCGAGATCGAAACGAGAGGTGCATATTCGGAGAGAGAGACCCTTCAAACCTGGACTGCTCTTTCCCTCTTCTCTCTCTACCTAATTGGCTCGCCTTTGGAGGAAGGAAGCTGATTCAGCAGCACTAATCCAAAACAAGACACTGTAGCCCTTCTTGCCTTTTCTTTCCCCACATTTTGCCGGATGACTCGAAACCGATTGCCAGGCCCCACACTCCTGACAAGCGCGGATTTCAGATGTTTTGACTGGCCAATGTGGCTGTCCTTGGCCAGGTGGGCAGTGACCAACCAGACTGTGAGAATTCAATGTGGAAGGAACGTGAAAAAAAAAAAGAGAAGAAAGAAGGACCAAAAAGTCCAAGGAAAGAACACCGGGAGCAGGCAAAGCGGGGCAGGACCCCATCCCTTGTCCTGGTATTGCCGCCTTTTTACGCCGGCCGCAGACAACGCAACGTGCAGCAGCACAAACTCGGGCAGGCGCTGCTGGCTGCGCTGCTGCTATCTCTCAAGTGGGGCCGCCTTCCCTCGATGTGGTGTCTCCGTTTTCTGCTGTTGTGCGTGTTCTGTGTTCGGCATTGCCATCGCAACCTGCAACATTTCTTGTTGTTTGCTTCCCCTTGTTTCTCTCCACTGTCTGTTGGCCTGCCGCGTGCTTAGCTGCGTATTTCGCTCTCGGAGTTTTGTAGCGCCAACTTGTGCGACGTGTCTGACCTCTATCATCGACGACCATCGCGCTGGATACCTGCGTTTCAACACTGCTGGTATCCACTTTGATCCTTTTTTTTTTTTTTTTTTTTTTTTTTTTTTTTTTTTTTTTTCTTCTCTTTCCTTTTTTTTTTTTTTTTTTTCTCTTTCTTTCCTCTCTCTTCTCCTCCCTCTCTTTTTTCTTTTTTTTTTTTTTTTTTTTTTTTTTTTTTTTTTTTTTTTTTTTTTTTTTTTTTTTTTTTTTTTTTTGCCTCTTCCTACTCCGTACGGAGTCTCTCATTCTTCTTTTTTCTGACTGCATCAAGGGTCAGCACACATGCGTCGGGGCACATGGAGATCTGCTTGGACACCTCCATGACGGGCAGGTGCTAGATGATGTTCAATTTGCATCTGCTTTTCAGATGGAAATGTTTGCAAGTCCACGTCAATGTGTCCAAAATCTCACAACGAATGGGATGCCGCTAACGTCTGTCTCGCTCAGTTCTGCCATTGTTGGTAACCAGCCCTCCCACCTTATACTAGCACGACTAGTCTGACCAAAGAGGGTGTTCGAGTCCCTCGCCGGGTAGATAGATCGTAGAGTTGCATTACACATTCGCGCACACACATACCAACGAAAAAAGTCACACACACACACTATACACCTCGAAAGCGTCCTTCTTCCCGATGACGCGAGCCTCTACACACGGACACTCATCATCCCATCTCATCCCACCGCTGACCGCCTCTTCTTCGTTCAAGATCGGGGACATCTGTCTGTGTACCAACGACCAAGATGCCTCGAGGCAAAACCCCGCGGCGGTTGAAAAAAGCTTACTATAGTAGAGACCGGTGCAAGCTATTGCCGTCTCTGACTCCTCCCCGATCTGCCCTCCCACGGGCCACAAGTTACAACGGTTCAAGGAACCAAGGAACCCAACGTTTGGTCTGTGACCTGGGAGGTATCATGGTGGCTCAAGATGGCTCATCATGTACTATCCGTCGACCGTCAGGACTAAGGAATACTATGCCAAGGGAACAGGATGATCCACACAGCCGTACCCCCACCACCTCATGGATGACGGCCGTCTTGCACCCTGGCACGCCTGTGTGTCTGGGTCTCCCCGACAATTTAACAGCTGCGGGTCCTCCCATCGCGCCTCCACCCTGCTGCATCGTCCGTACCTACGCAGCGCTGTTAGTCGCATCTGCACGCCTTTTTCCTGGAGCCAAGCCAAGCACGCACTTTCCAACGAGTCCCAGTCTTCCAGACTCTCACTCGTGGCGCTAATAAGGTCCTTTTAGCTGGGTACGGGAGATACGTGGATACGGTATACGGTACCTACATATCCCACTAGATGACGCCCACAACACCACCAATTCCCATGTACTCGCCCAGGAAATGCTCTCTGTCTTTCTTAACAGACTAACAGCAGCCTGCCGGGAAGTATGTACCCATCACTCTGAAGTCAAGGTAGTATCTATCACCCCAGTCAGGGTGCCTCGCCTTCGCCCTGCGTGCAACAATACCTCCTGAATGCCCAACATCGTGCTGTACCTCCACCTGTGACCTCGCATTACCTTGTTCCGTACCTACTGCAAGTTGTTAGCTACCGGCCGGGCTTAAGACGTCCTAGATCCGGGAACCGACTCCGGCGCAAATTGTCACTCATCTTGACGCATCGTTGATTGGTAATGTTTTCTGTTTGGCTCCCGAGGTCGATCCGATAGACTGCCTGGGCGGCCCCAAGACCCTCTTTATTTTTTTTCTTCCCTCCCAGACCATACGGATGGATACCCAGTAACCCAGTCCTTAGGAGGTAGTTGCTTGCTGGCCCTGGTTTTCTTTCTCTTAGGTTGTTGACGGAAGCTTCTTTTATTTTTCCTCAACTCCCATTTCTCATCCATCAACTCGCTCTCGGGTCGACGGCCACTGGGATCTGTGTATTCCTCCTTTCCTCCGCCGAATGACCGCCTCTTGGTCCGAAGCGCATCTCGACAGTCAGAAACTCTGACACATACACGCTCTCTCTCTGTCACGCAGTCTCAACCCACCGGCTCTTAGCTTCCACCCTTCAGTCCCTTGATCTCTCTCTCTATTTCATCCCCTTTAACACGGCACATTGCCGCCTGACTCTTTCGCCTATTCTCCCTCTTTCTCACCTACCATCCCCACGGCATATCACCCCGTACCTCCACTTCCAACGCCTTTTCTCTCCCCGGCACGGGCCAGCTACCGCCACTTTCCGGTCGCCTGGGATCATCGTCACCACCTCTTAATACCAGCTCGACCACTCACTCACCATTAGGTTTCGTGAGACTGAGCATTAATTCAAATCAACGCGCCGTACACAAAAGATTTTGCACCGCAGTGGACAACAACACTTCGCGCATCACACATCAGCCCGTCGGTCCAATGGCGGACCAGGACTTTGAAAAGACGGAACAGGCCGTCGCAGGAGGTAGCCCCGCCGTCAACGAGAAGAACAATACGGCCGACTCAAGTACGGCCCCGCGATCCTCGACCTCCACCGCCGCCGATTCTGAACAGCAACGCGAGGAAGCTCGCCGCAACAACCCCGATGGTTTCACCGCGATCCACGCCGGTATCTCGGTTCACCAGGCCGAGGCCGAGTTTGCGGAACTCCAGCGCGAGCTGTCTGGTCACTCACGCGCGAGCAGAGTGAACAGTCGCAACAGCCGTAGAAAGTCTGAAGATGTCGAGAAGGCTGTCGCCAACGTCAACTCGGCCACACCTTCCTCCGAGACGGATGGTGAGCAATTTGACTTGGAAGCCGTCTTGCGCGGGGGCGTCGAGGCCGAGCGCGAGGCCGGCATCAGACCGAAGCACATCGGCGCCTACTGGGACGGGCTCACGGTCAAGGGCATGGGAGGCACCACCAATTACGTCCAGACTTTCCCCGATGCTTTTGTCAGCTTTGTCGACTACGTGACTCCCGTCATGAACCTCCTGGGCTTGAACAAGAAGGGTGTTGAGGCTACTCTGCTGGACAACTTCAAAGGTGTCTGCAAGCCGGGTGAGATGGTCTTGGTCTTGGGCAAGCCTGGATCGGGCTGCACCACGTTCCTCAAGACCATTGCCAACTGGCGCGCCGGCTACACCAGTGTTACTGGCGATGTGCTGTACGGGAAGTTTACAGCCGACGAGTTCAAGCAGTACCGAGGTGAGGCCGTCTACAACCAGGAGGACGATATCCACCACTCCACCCTCACCGTCGAGCAGACGCTGGGTTTCGCCCTCGACACCAAGGTTCCCGCCAAGCGCCCCGCTGGCATGTCCAAGAACGAGTTCAAGGAGCAGGTCATCTCCACCCTCCTGAAGATGTTCAACATCGAGCACACCCGCCACACTGTCGTCGGTGACGCTTTCGTGCGCGGTGTCTCTGGAGGAGAGAGAAAGCGTGTGTCGATCGCAGAAATGATGATCACCAACGCTTGCGTTCTCTCATGGGATAACAGCACCCGTGGTCTAGATGCCAGTACGGCGCTCGATTTTGTCAAGTCCCTCCGTGTCCAGACGAACTTGTACCAGACCACCACGTTTGTATCTCTGTACCAGGCCTCCGAGAACATCTATAACCTCTTCGACAAGGTCATGGTTATTGACGCCGGAAAGCAAGTCTACCTCGGCCCCGCCACCGAGGCCCGCGCCTACTTCGAAGGTCTCGGTTTCGCCCCTCGCCCCAGACAGACCACCCCCGACTACGTTACCGGATGCACCGACGACTTTGAGCGCGAGTACGCCCCCGGCCGTTCAGCCGAGAACGCGCCCCACAGCCCCGAGACCCTCGCTGAGGCTTTCAAGACTTCCAAGTTCCAGAAGCAGATCGACAGCGAGATGGAGGAGTACAAGGCGAGACTGGCCCAGGAGACGGAGAAGCACACCGACTTCCAGGTCGCCGTCAAGGAGGCCAAGCGCGGCTCTTCCAAGCGCTCCGTCTACGCTGTCGGTTTCCACCTGCAAGTCTACGCGCTCATGAAGCGCCAGTTCGTCCTGAAGCTCCAGGACCGTTTGTCTCTGTTCCTCTCCTGGTTCCGCTCCATCGTCATCGCCATCGTCCTCGGTACTCTCTTCTTCCGCCTCGGTTCGACTTCCGCCAGCGCCTTCAGCAAGGGTGGTCTCATGTTCATCTCGCTCCTCTTCAACGCCTTTGAAGCCTTCTCCGAGCTGGCGGGTATCATGACTGGACGTGCAATTGTGAATAAGCACAAGGCGTACGCTTTCCACCGTCCGTCGGCATTGTGGATCGCGCAAATCATTGTCGATCAAGCCTTTGCAGCAAGTCGAATCATGGTCTTTTCCATCATCGTCTACTTCATGTCTGGGCTTGTCCGCGAAGCTGGGGCATTCTTCACCTTCTACCTCATGATTCTCTCTGGAAACATCGCCATGACGCTCTTCTTCCGATGCATCGGCTCCATCAGCCCCGATTTCGATTACGCCATCAAGTTCGCCGTTGTCATCATTACCTTCTTCGTCACCACCTCTGGTTACCTCATTCAGTATCAGTCTGAGAAGGTTTGGATTCGCTGGATCTACTGGGTCAACGCTCTTGGTCTTGCTTTCAGTGCCATGATGGAGAATGAGTTCAGCCGTCTGAAACTCACCTGTTCAAGCGAGTGACTCATCCCCTCGGGCCCCGGCTATGGCGACATCAACCATCAGGTTTGCACGCTTGCTGGCTCCACCGCAGGAACCACGCTCGTCGATGGCTCAGCGTACATTGCTGCTGGATACAACTACATCAAGGGCGATCTGTGGCGCAACTGGGGTATCATCCTGGCTCTCATCGTCTTCTTCCTCCTCATGAACGTCACCCTCGGTGAACTCATCAACTTTGGGAACGATGGCAGCTCGGCCAAGGTCTACCAAAAGCCCAACGCGGAGCGTAAGAAGCTCAACGAGGCATTGATGGAGAAGAAGGCAGCCAAGCGCCGCGGCGACAAGCAGGAAGGCTCTGACTTAAGCATCAACTCGGAAGCCGTCTTGACCTGGGAGGACCTCAACTACGATGTTCCTGTCGCCGGTGGAACCCGTCGCCTGCTCAACAATGTCTACGGATACGTCAAGCCCGGCCAACTCACGGCTTTGATGGGTGCTTCCGGTGCCGGCAAGACCACTCTCCTCGATGTACTCGCGTCTCGTAAGAACATTGGTGTCATCCACGGTGACGTCCTCGTCGACGGCATCAAGCCCGGAAAGCAGTTTCAACGCAGTACCTCGTACGCCGAGCAGCTCGATCTCCACGACCCGACCCAGACCGTCCGCGAGGCCCTCCGCTTCTCCGCCCTTCTTCGCCAGCCTTACGAGACCCCCATTCCCGAGCGCTACGAATACGTCGAGGAGATTATTGCCCTGTTGGAAATGGAGCATATTGCCGACTGCATCATTGGCTCCCCCGAGTTCGGTCTGACCGTCGAGCAGCGCAAGCGTGTTACGATCGGTGTCGAACTGGCCGCCAAGCCTGAGCTCCTTCTTTTCCTTGACGAACCCACCTCCGGTCTCGATAGTCAGAGCGCCTTCAACATTGTCCGTTTCCTCAAGAAGCTGGCCGCCGCCGGACAGGCCATTCTCTGCACCATTCATCAGCCCAACGCCGCCCTGTTCGAGAACTTTGACCGTCTTCTGCTCCTCCAGAGAGGTGGCCGCACCGTGTACTTTGGTGATATCGGCCAGGACGCTGTCGTTCTGCGAGACTACCTCAAGCGCCACGGCGCCATCGCCAAGCCCACCGACAACGTCGCTGAGTACATGCTCGAGGCCATCGGAGCCGGATCCGCGCCCCGTGTCGGAAACAAGGACTGGGCCGACATCTGGGACGACAGCGCCGAGCTCGCCAACGTCAAGGACACTATCGGCCAGCTCAAGGAGCAGCGCATGGCCGCCGGCCGGACCGTCAACCACGACCTGGAGAAGGAGTACGCCAGCCCGCAGTTGCACCAGCTCAAGGTCGTCGTGAACCGCATGAACATCAGCTTCTGGCGCAGCCCCAACTACCTCTTCACCCGCCTCTTCAACCACGTCGTCGTCGCCCTCATCACCGGTCTCACCTACCTTCAACTCGACGGCAGCCGCAGCTCGCTCCAGTACAAGGTCTTCGTCATGTTCCAGGTCACTGTTCTGCCGGCCCTCATCATCAGCCAGGTCGAGGTCATGTTCCACATCAAGCGCGCCCTCTTCTTCCGCGAGAGCTCCTCAAAGATGTACAACCCCCTCACATTCGCCGCCGCAATCACCATTGCCGAGCTTCCCTACTCCATCATGTGCTCCGTCGGCTTCTTCCTTCCGCTCTACTACATGCCAGGATTCCAGTTCGACTCCTCCCGCGCGGGCTACCAGTTCTTCATGATCCTCATTACCGAGCTCTTCTCCGTCTCCCTCGGCCAGGCCTTGGCGTCCCTGACGCCCAGCCCCTTCATCTCCTCGCAGTTCGATCCCTTCATCATGATCACCTTTGCCCTCTTCTGCGGTGTCACCATCCCCGCCCCGCAGATGCCTGGCTTCTGGCGCGCCTGGCTCTACCAGCTCGACCCCTTTACGCGTCTCATTGGCGGTATGGTCGTCACCGCGCTACACGACCTCAAGGTTGCCTGCTCCTCGGTCGAGTTCAACCCCTTCACCGCGCCGCCGGGTCAGACGTGCGGCGAGTACATGCAGCCCTTCTTCGACAATGGTGGCCCGGGATACCTGGCCAACAACGATACGTCGAGCTGCGAGTACTGCGCGTACAAGGTCGGCGACGAGTTCTACACGCCTCTGGGGCTCAACTTTGATAACCGCTGGAGGGACCTCGGTATCTTTTTGGCCTTTGTTGGCAGCAACTTGATTATCCTTTTCATGGCGGTAAGCATCCCCCACTTCAGTCCCCTAATGGATGATTCAAGCAGTTACTAACGTCTTCAACAGAGCAAGTTCCTCAACTTCAACCGCAGATAATCATCCCCACCCCCAAGCCCGCTTCGCAACGCTTTTCGCATCCTGCTTTCCGCTTTCCTACTGTCAGTTGATTTAACAGCATCAGCATCATCATCACCCGATAGGTTCCCAACTCGGCCGCGTCTTTTCAACAGGCCAAGAACCATGTTTTGTGAAAAATGGAGTCTTTTGGTTTTGGGGATATCGACACCAAAATTTTCGGGAGGGTTTTGCGAATTCATATGAGAAGATAGAGGAAGCCTTCATTGCGCACAGTACACACATCACACATTGAGCCATGAGATAGCATGGCTTTTTGTCGAGAGCTGCGAGATGTACACATGCACATCACGCCCTAGCATAGAGCTTTTTACGTAATTTAATAGACACGGCCAAGAGACTGTATGTATTAATTGAGAACGAGAGCCTTTGTGAGAATTGATGTGTTGAAGGTTGAAGATTGAAGAAGACTTTTTTCTGAGATTTGAAGTGTGAAGACTGCTTGTTTTTGATGAAGCCACTCATTGCGATTATGAGGAAATCGCAATTATACCCCAAAAACCATTTCGATCCTCTGGGGTTGATGGGTAAAGAGGAAGGAGACGAAAACATCTACAACCTCCGCCGGAATTCCTCTTAGCTCGACAGTATACTGAGGTAATCTCCTGACCGAACCGCTCATGGTTCGAGAAGCTATTCCCTTACCCCAACCCGAGAATCTGATAGCCCACACACTGATGTACCTCGATTCGTTCCTCGAAACTTGACACCCCCTCCCCGCACTCCCGTCGGGAACCCCGCCGCCGGCACCACAGAGATAGACCCCACTATCGGTCGACAGTCCTCCGCCAGCACCCCACCGCCGCACGGCGTCCTGTCACCCCCTCCTCCGGCGAACGACTTCATTGAAAACCCCGTCCGTACCGAACTTACTCTAGACTTCGGCATTTACAACCGTCCTACAATTCCTCACCATAGAATCCTTTTCAAATCAATTTCCGCAGCTCGTTCACTACCTTCAATCGCCTCATTCAAACATCCACACGAGACTTACACTCAACCCGTTCCACCATCTCAAAATGGCAGACCAAACCCCCCGCGCAGACCTCACAAAACGCCAAATTCCCTTCATGACCCTCGCATCAGGCGACACCGCCACCCTCCCAGGCGGACCCGCCCGCACCGCCTCCGCGTCCGACACACCGGAATCCCGCTTCGCCCTCCCGGGCACAGCAGTCCTGACAGGCGGCACCGGCGCCATCGCCCACGCCGTCGCGCGCGCGATGCTCCAGCACGGGTTGACGGGCCTCGCGCTCCTCGATCTAGAGGTCTCCTCCCCCGCCGCGGAGACGCAGATCGCGTCTCTGAGGGCCGAGTTCCCGGCGACCAAGATCCTCGCCAGGAGCGTGGATGTCACGGATGAGGGGGCCGTCAAGGAAGCCATGGAGGTCGCGGCGAGCGAGCTGGACGGGATCGATTACTTGGTTTGTTTCGCGGGGGTGGTGGGCTGCCACCACGCGCTCGAGATGTCGGCCTCGCAGTTCCGGAGGATACTGGACGTCAACACCACGGGCGCCTTCATCTGCGCGCAGGCCGCCGCGCGCATCTTCGTGGAGCAGGACCGCGGCGGGCGGATCGTGTTCACGGCGAGTATCTCCGCGCACAGGGTGAATTTCCCGCAGCCGCAGGCCGGGTATAATACGAGCAAGGGCGCGCTGCTGCAGTTGAAGAGCAGTCTGGCGGCGGAGTGGGCGCGGTACGGGATCACGGTGAATAGTGTGAGCCCGGGGTACATGGACACGGTGTTGAACGAGGGGGAGGGGTTGAGGGAGGCGAGGGAGGTGTGGGCGGGGAGGAACCCGACGGGGAGGATGGGGTTGCCGGAGGAGTTGGGGGGCGTTGTGGTGATGTTGTGTAGTCGGGCGGGGAGTTATTTTAATGGGAGTGATTTGGTTGTTGATGGGGGCGGTGTTGTGTTTTAGATGGGGGTATGGGGATGACAGATTTTGTGTAGAGGGCTGGGGGGTGTGGGAAGAGGGAAGGGTTAGATAGGTTAGAGGAAGATCTGCTAGAGTGCTAGACGCATTGAATCATGTTATTGAAAGGTTAGCATCCGGCTGCTTGAAGAGATGGGCTAAAGAGTCTCGAGGGTTGCTTCTGAGGAGGGATCGTCACGGAATCATGAGCCTCGTTGAGTGCTTGAAACGTTCGACAACCCGATAGGAGCTCGATGTCAATCCTCTTCCTCACTTTGAGAGCCATGCGCCCTGTACCCCTTCACTTTCATCTATTGGGCGAGATTCACTCGCTTGTCGTAAATCGGCGGTGGTGCCGTCATATGTCATCCCTTTTTCTCATCGGTGACTTCTCTTTGGTAAGTGTATTGAGGCCGAGATAGGGTAGCCTGGGGCGTCGTTAGGAGTCGTTGAATTGCCGGGCTAGACGCAGGAGAAACGCATCCAGACGAACACGTCCCAAGCACGTATCGAGTATGGACTGACAGGAGTGGCTATGGCTCCTGTTCGGAAAAAACATTCGGCATCAAAGCTCGTTTTAGACAACGAAGCTTTGTTGAAGCTTCTTGGTTTACATGGTCCAGAGTATATACGGCGATGAAGGCGCATCCTGGATCAGATGCAGAACAGGGAAAGGTAGCTGTGATTTGGGAGACATGGAGAGATCTATAATCAGAGGTCACACTTAACCTGATTTTGTTGACAAGGACTCCAAGCTTTCCGGGGGTCGGGAGCTGATGTTCTTCAACAGTTGGGACACTAACATGACGCTTGCCATGGTCCAGTGAGATATCATGGGCAGAAAGGCTACTTATAGTACTAGAAATCACAAGACGAACGGTCTCGCGCAGTCTAGGCCCTGCCTCCTATCCTCAGGATCCTCGGGTATCTACCAGCGTAGTTGGGTATTCCACTTAAGGGTGCTGAGTGACGCCACCTACCGTGGAGCAATGTTCTCTTGGGACACTATGGGTGCGGCAAGCATAATTGAGTGTGTCTTTGGTCCTCCTGAGTTGACGACTGCCTGAGGTAGGTGAAGCAAGATCAAATTGGCTGGCGTGAGGCTTCTGCCCTTCTTTAAGCCGTTCGGGCTGTGTAGGACGTATTGCTTAAAGACATGGTATAACTTGAAATGATTTACTCATATGGATTTTGACCAAGATGACAGACATCTTCCACATACTGTGATAATCAACGAAGCCAGTATAATGCATTGGCATTGAGGTTGAGCAGCTAACCTGTCAAAGACGACGACTGACAGTTCACGCTCACCTTGACTGTGTGGACATCCTTGCCTTGAACACCAAAGATCGCCTGGTAGGGCTTTTTCATCCAGGTCTGCCTGGTATTGTTGGGGGTGAACCTTTGAACCAGAACTTAAGAAAGTCCATGGCTTTCAGCTATCTTATTACTATCCGAGTGAATTTGCTCTTGGCCTGAATTCTAGCCTGCAGGACCTGACAAAGACGAAAACAGAAATTTGGATGCAATCGGCGATAAGAAGATAAGACGTCACCACCCTCCCCACCACCCCCCTTCCTGCGACCGCCGTCACGTGCACGCTAGCGTTATCGATAGTCACAGGGCAGGAATTCCTGACCTTGACGTCGACCGCCCGAATTTTCTCAATTGCTTAAGCTTCTCAACGCGTCAACACCAGGATCCACTGCACAACACGCGCGCCCACGATGAGCTCATACAGACCATACCCGCCTCAGGGCAATGCCAGGGACGACCGCAATCGCGGTCGTTACGATTCCCGTTCTTCACATCATCAGCCGCCGCCACCTGGAGCAGGCGACAATTGGCGCAACCCGTGGCCCGAAGACCGTGAGTACAGCCACCTCTCAAGATCGCAATTTCCACCGCGGCATTTCGACCATTTTGGTGCTAACAAATGATGTAATGATATAGGCCGAAGATCAGGAGGCTACGATGGCTACAGACCCGATAACCGACCGCCTCAGGGCGACTTCACCTTCCGGATGGATAAGCCCTCTGGCGTTGGCAGCACCTCCAGAGGAGACTCGTACCGCCCCGGCGCATATCAGGGCAACGACAGAAGAAGGGCCCCACGCGCTCGGGGAGGATTCTTTCGTGGTCGCGGTAGGGGCGGGTACCAGAAGATCATCCCGGCCGAGCGCGAGCTCTTGCGCACCCGCCGCGATGGAGTCGACGAGAACCTAGTCAACGAGGAGGACGCCGGTGTAGTATACCGCGACATCAATGACCTTTCAGACGATGAAGAGGCCGATATGGAGATCTCGGACAACTCCGACGATGACGACGAGGAATCTGGTGAGCCTTCTAGCAAGCGCGCCCGCCGCGCTGGCAACGACGAATCGGGCAACAGCGTCCCGAAGTGGTCGAACCCAGACCCGTACACCGCCCTGCCCCCGCCTGATGCAGCGGAACGCAAGAAGAAGGACATGGTCAAGATGATTCGGAAGGCACGAGTCGACGAGACAGCCGCAGACAAGCTCAAGGCCAGCACAGAAGCCGAGGAGTTCATTTCCTTCGACTTTGACGAGCCCAACGACGAGGAAGAGATCATTCTTCCTCCTTCTGAGCCACCCTCGCCTCCCCCTCCCCCTCCTCCTGGCCCTGCGCCTCCTCTGCAGTCCTCATCTATCGCCTCGAGAATCGCACCCAGCGGTCCTCGTTCCGACCGTCCACTTGCTATCAACGGATCAGCAGCGTCGACAGCGCCATCCACGCCTGGCAAGCCTTCAACTCTGCCGCCTAGGCCCGTTGCATCCAACGACGCTCTCGGCTCCCGGAAGCGCACTGTCGACGATCACATCAAGCCTCCTACCTACGCTCCGCTCAAGAAAGTCAACAAAATGCCTGTGGGTGGTGCCATCTTGTCTGAGTGGAAGGTGACCAAAGGCGAGGATCCCACGCCCTGGATCGACGCCGACCATTCCAAGACCTCGGACATCAGTGTTTGGTGAGTTGTGGCAGCGTTTAATCGGACGTAGTGTCTAACCGGGATAGGCTCCACAA